AAATGATATATAAATAAATTTAATCTGAGGGAAAGCTTCAAACGTGACGATTGAATTGAGACAAAGAGGGTCACAGGTGAGCGGAAAAAGGATGTCTTTATTTATTTTATTTTATTTTTTTTTGGCGCGTGGTGCTTAGAGCGAAAGTCGGGTTTCCATGCTTCTTGCTTTTCACACATTCATTTTTTATTTTTTGTCATCCACACGTTCATATTTTATATTTTTCTACTGAATTTACAAGATTCGATTTATTTTTTTTTTATTTTTATTAATTTTTTAATATTTAATAATTACATTAAATTTTGATTATTTTTAAATCATTCTGAAATTAAATCATGTCAAGTCATATTTAAAAAAAAAGTTTTTTCAACACTTTTTTTTCCATTAAAAAGAATTAAATTTAAAAAATCAATTTCCTTTCATTTAAATCAACTTATTATTAGTTTTTTATTCGGTTATTATTACTTTAATTTATTACAAAAATATTTTTTATGTTAAATTAAAATTAAAAATTTTAGCTTAAGTATTCAAATACATATTTTTATATATTTATTTATTGTTAATAATTACTAATTTTATCACTCAAACTGTATAATAAAATATGATTTGAACTTAAAAATACTTTATAAAACTCTAATATTATTTTTGTTACATATTTTTTTTCTTTGGAACAGAAAAGATTCTGTTTACCGAAAGGATGCTAGCATAATGGACAGATGTCAGATTTAATTATGATTACTTAATTAAATAATTTTTTATATTTGTTTAAATTAATTAATTATAAATGTAATAAGAAACCGCTCCGGCTAGTCACATTGTACTCTAAGTTAAAAGTTAAAGTTGTTTACCTCTAATGAGTTGGATGTTCGAGTCTCATAAAAATTCTTTTTTTTTTAATTAACTCTGTAAATAATTATAAATTGTTCAAAAAAAATTATAAATGTAACAAAAAATATTTTAATTAAAAGATGGGTATATTTAAAAAAAAAAAAGGATGGATGAGATTTTTTTTTTCATTTTTTATCTCAAAATAATGATTTTTTATTTTAAATTTATTTTTAATTAACTATTTTTTATTTTTA